GGGGGGGGGAGAACTAAAGTGCACCGGACGCTTCAGATCTTATAAGTGTTCAGGGCGTGCACATTCTGGTGGAGCGGCGGTTCAACGGTATTGACGATGCAGCTACGCCGCGAGGTGTGTACACGGTGCATGAACGACAGGAACCGACGAGGGGTGTGCTACGTCGCGGGCCGAGAGCGTCAGGCGTGGACGTGGCCAAGTTAAGATCCCCCGAGTGCTTGATTCTGGCTCCGCTCCCGTGTTTGTAGGCGGTGGGAAAGAAGGCGGGAGTTCTGCGTTACACGGATCTTGACCACCCAAAAGCGCAATCCTCCACGTCCACAGCTCGCGTTACAGGGAAAAAAATCCATCGCTCCACCTTCAGGTTGGAATTTTACGACCCCTGACACATCGGTGGGTGCGCGTCATGAGTGACATTCAGATGTGGCGAATGAATGGCTGTTGTGAGCTGGCGCATGATGCAGCTGCGTTTCTTGCTCCTTGGACCATGCAGTGAAGGTGGCGGGGCTGGCTTGCACTGCACTGCGCTTCCGCGGACGCAGCGGCAGGAGCAGCCCACGTGGCAAGAGGAGCAAGCTCGTGAGGCTTGTAGGCCGCAACGCTTTGCTTCTGTCGTGTGCAGGTCATCGCTTGCCTTGCTCCAATGGTCACTTGCCAAGACTTGCGTGCGATGCCTTCAAGCTTGACCAGCCCGGACCGAATCACAAATATAGACTAGTACAAATACAGACAGTGTGTTTAGGTAGACAAGGTGATCTTACTACGTGCGTGCGGTCGGGGCACATAACAGGGCCGGGCGCGTCCTTCGCCGCCAGAATTGCAGCAGACAGAGTGCCGTCGACATTGGTCCGCTGCTCCTGTCCCGACTTCTGTTGCCAGCCAAACATCGGGACTCCGGTAGCGAATCAACCGTCTGATGGGCAGCAGATCCTGTCAAATATGCTTTCCGTCTCTCAACCCTTTCGAGACTGCGGCTCGGTTTGAAACGGCACGGGGAAGCTACGCTCGCCACATTACTATAAAAATCACGCTTTCAAAACGGTGTTTTTGCAATCGCAGACATATTCGGGCGGTTTCGGGCGCAACCGTCGTGTTGG